AATTGGATTAGTACAGTTCCTGATTCTCACAGACACAGATGAGGGATTGTCCTATTTTGGAGTGTCCTGGACCTGAGAGCCAATGTAATTATGTGTATGTTTTTACTGTAGTTTACTCTCAGGTCCAGGGGGAGTGCCACTTGCATGGGGACCTGCATAGAAGACCAGTTGTGGCTGCTAATAAATGAGTTCCAGTTTACCCTTAACACAGAGCCTCATCTCGTGATTGTAGGGAACTGCTATACCAGCTATAATCCCTGCTCTTGGGATTGTTCCTTGGATTGCTATAATCACTAGCTCTTGTAAGAGCTACACCTGCTCTACTCTTTGGATTGGGAGAGGCTGGATCCTGGTTGTGAGTCCAAAGTGGGTGGAGATTGGCGAGACCCCAACCAAGCTGTAATGCTTGAAGTGGGGACTTCAGTGCTACAGTGACCCCTGATCACTGCTTTATGGTGTGGTGCTCATGGTACTCGGTGACAGCTAGGAAGCAGTGACTGGTGGAGGCATCCAGTCGGGGTGCCAGGCAGTCCATCACAATTCCCAGTTTATAAAAGTGCTTATTTATCTGAGAAATCAGCACTTTTATAAATTAACTTGGGAACTCCCCCCCCAGGCTGTCAATCAAACAGCCAGGGAGGATTCCTTCCTACTTCCGTCAGCTCCCTTGAGCTTACGGATGTAGCAGGCATGCTCTACTTGAGTGTGCTTGCCTCCCCCTCTCTCACTGACCTCAGACCAGCTCCTTAGCCTCAAGTACAGAAGCGGCGGGGTTGCACGTGCACAAACATGCGCGCATGCACATAGCATTGTGGCACACATGCACACAACTGTGTACATGCGTGTGCACGAGCCGGCGCGAGTGTGCATGTGAGGACCATTTCAGAGGCTTCTCAGTGAGAAGCCTCTGTTTGGTTATTTCCCTGTAAGAGACTGAAAAAAACTGCAGCTTTTGTAATCTCTTTTAGACTACACTCCCAATGAATACATACATAAAAATATTGGGGGTATATATTTTTTTTTGGGGTGGTGTTTAGACCTGTGGAGTGGTCCTTTAAGAAATTGTCAGCGGTAGCCATTACCAGGTTTGAAAACAATACAAACGATTTATATGTTTCGCCATTTTTCTTCTGTAGTAGCTCTATTACAAACCTCACTAAGAAAGGTTCAAACCACTCTACTTGGTCTCTGAAGCCAGGGCCGGCCCAAGACATTGTGCTGCCTAGGTCCAAGGATGAAATACTGCCATTCTCTGAAACCACACTCACCAAAACACACCAACATCCATTACTTTACGCAGTGTGTTTAGTGAATGGAGTGTCTGTGTTTGTGCAGTAGATGCAGTGTCTGTGTTTGTGTAATGGATGCCATGTCTGTGTCTGTGCAGTGGATGCAATGTCTGTGTAGTCGATGCAGTGTCTGTGTGGATGCAGTATATGTTCGCGGTATATGTATATGTTAGTGTAGTGGATGTCATGTCTGTGTTTGAGCAGTAGATGCAATGTCTGTCTAGTGGATGCAGTATCTGTGTTTGTGCATTGAATGCAGTGTCTCTATAGTGGAAGCAGTGTATATTTGTGTTGTGAATGCAGTGTGTGTTTATGTACTGGATGCAGTGTCTGTGTTTGTGTAGTAGGTGCACTGTCTATGTAGTGGATGCAGTGTCTGTGTGTGTACTGAATGCAATGTATGTGTACTAGAAAGCAGTGTGTGTAGTGGATGTAGTGTGTGTAGTGAATGTAGTGTGTGTAGTGTCTGTAGTGTATGAGTTTTTATAGTGGCTGTGGTGTCTGTGTTTGTATAGTAGATGCAGTGTGTGTTTTTGTAGTGGATGCAGTGTATTGTTGTGTAATGGATACAGTGTGTGTGATGGATACAGTATGTTTACTGGATGCAATGTGTGTAGTGGAGGCAGTGTCTGTGTTTGTATAGTAATATGTATATCACTATACAGTGAGGGAAAATAACATTTGATCCCCTGCTGATTTTGAACGTTTGCAAACTGACAAATAAATGATCAGTCTATAATTTTAATGGTAGGTGTATTTTAACAGTGAGAGACAGAATAACAAAAAAGAAAAATCCAGAAAAACGCATGTCAAAAAAGTGATAAATTGTCAATGAGTGAAATAAGTATTTGACCTGTTCGACTTAGTACTTGGTGGCAAAACCATTGTTGGCAATCACAGAGGTCAGACATTTCTTGTAGTTGGCCACCAGGTTTGCACACATCTCAGAAGGGATTTGTCCCACTCCTCTTTGCAGATCCTCTCCAAGTCATTAAGGTTTCGAGGCTGACGTTTGGCAACTCGAACCTTCAGCTCCCTCCACAGATTTTCTATGGAATTAAGGTCTGGAGACTGGCAAATCCACACCAGGACCTTAGAAACATAGAAACATAGAATGTGACGGCAGATAAGAATCATTCGGCTTAGCTAGTCTGCACAATTTTCTAAATACTTTCATTAGTCCTTAGCCTTATCTTATAGCTAAAATAGCCTTATACATAGCCCATGTATGCTTAAACTCCTTTACTGTGTTAACCTCTACCACTTCAGCTGGAAGGCTCTTCCACGCATCCACTACTCTCTCAGTAAAGTAACACCTCCTGATATTCCTGACCATTTTTCTAGTTTACCTAAATCATTTGCCATTTGGCTTATCCCTCCTGGAACCTGCTACATATCTTAGTAGTATCAGCAAAAAGACATAACTTACCATGGTATGCAATATCACTAATAAAAACATTAAAGAGAATGAGTCTAAGTACAGAGATCCCTGAGGTACCCCACTGGTGACAAGCCCGTGCTTCAAAAATACTCCATTGACTACAACCCTCTGTTGCCTGTCACTGCCTTATCCATTCAACAATATTTGAATCCAAACCTAAAGAGTTTATTGAAAAGCCTTCTATGTGCAACAGTGTCAAAAGCCTTACTGAAATCTAGGTAAGCAATGTCTACTTCACCACCCATATCTATTATTTTAGTTACCCAATCAAAAACATCAATAAGATTAGTTTGGCATGATCTCCCTGAAGTAAGCCCATGTTGATCTTGGAATCCATGTGATTTTAGATGTTCAACAATCCTATCCTTTAACATGGTTTTCAGTACTTTCCCCACTACTGAAGTAAGGCTTACTGATGTGTAGTTGCCCGATTCCTCCCTACTACCTTTCTTGTGAATGGGCACAACAGTCGCCAATCTTCTGGGACTACTCCTGTAACAATGATTGTGACAGATTCCCTCTCCCTGAATGACAGGTTGTACATTTTGTTGCTTATTTGATATACTCTGTAGTCTGGTATACGAACACCTGAGACCTATCTATTTCGTATACCAAACAAACTACCGAACGGACAGACCACCCTGTCCATTAACCTCTTTTACCTCTGTTCGCACCTCCGTAACCACAATTATAATAACATTCTGAGCGGTCGGCTCAGTGGCTGCAGTTCATATGGCCGAACACATGGCAGCGGCCATCTTTAGCCTCTAACATGTACAGCGGTGTTTGGTCATCGAGTGCATCAAACTAAAATCGGGCACTTGACAGCACGAACACTGCTAGAACTTCCACAGACGTTCGGCAAAATACATGAGAACTGAATGGCATTCGGTGGGAGCAAACTCCCGAACCAGGACTAAAGACTGACCGTTCTGTACTTTTATTCTATTTTGTCACCCCCGAAAGAGATCGACTGCACAGCCTGATTTTCATGGAACTCTTTTGGGGTAGGAGCCTATTGTGCGGCCAGTCAAACTGAGACTTTCATGGAAATCCTGAACCCCTGAACCGATCTGGGTGATTTTTGGATATGTTGATCCCCAAATTGGGGGTATCAGGGGATATGACTATATTGGGATTTCCATGTGGTTTAGGGGTATTTTTAATATGTTGTGAAAATTATGTCTTTTGTGCCTGGAGATAATTGAGTTTAGTACAGTGCTTGACTCAATTATCTCCCAGGTACAGAGGAAGGATTGACCTACTTTGTATGGGAGTGTCCTGGACCTGAGAGCCAATGGGATGGTGTATATGTTTTTACTGTGGTTTACTCTCAGGTCAAGAGGGGAGTGCCCCTTGAATGGGGATTATCATAAAAGGCCAGTGTGGCCACCAATAAATCACTTCCTGCTTACCCACAACGTATAGTCTCATCTAATGTTTGTAGGTAACAGCTATACCTGCTATAAGCACCAGCTCTTGTAAGAGCTACACAACTATACCGACCTTGGGATTTGGAAGGCATCACTCTGAATAGGGGGAAGAACATATTTTGCAGCGAAACCCCTAATGCTTTTTGTGTGGCCCCCACTGTGATTGATTAAATAAATATGTTAATAATTTTGCTAATGCACCACTAAGCTCTTTTAATAACTTTGGGTATATTCCATCAGGCCCCATTGACTTATTTGTCTTTACTTTTTTTTTCCATTTGAAAGTTTATTGGTTTTCAAAGATTTTTGGAGGGGGTACAAAAAGGAAAAGGGGGGAGGGGAAGCATAATCAAAAAGCAGTATACAGTACACATTGTAAATAAGACATTAGTGTTTAGACAGCATGCATGGCATTAGGTGGTAAATATCAATTAGTATGGAGTTTGTTTTAAGCATATTAGGCTTGTGTATTCCCCCACAACTCCCAGGCCTTCAGTATGACCCACAAAAATGGGAAGAGGAAGGTGTACATGCCTTGTATGTCGAGCACTACCTTAATGCCCGATATTTGTGGGCTTTTCGTGGACTTCCAAGCCCTTGCTAGTGCCTGGTGTGCTGTCAGTAAGATTTGCATTATTATTTTTTGTCTGGGGAGGCAACCCATATTTGTGTAGCACCCTCTCTAAGAAGGACTAGCCGAGCCTGTCAAACACTTTTTCAGCGTCCAGTGCTAAAAGCATGCCCCCATGGTCAATTTCTCTCATTCTATCAATTAGTAGGGACATTTTTCAGATGTTATCAAGGCCCCGTCTTCCCTGTATGAACCTAATTTCGGCATCATGGATCAGCCGTGGCCAGGATCATGGCATAGAGTTTAGCGTCCATATTTAAAAGAGAGAAAGGGCAGAAATGTTTACAAATATCAGGAGTTTTTTCTAGTTTGGGGATAGTGATGACTGTTGCCAACAACAGTTCAGGTGGCAGTGAACCCAATTCATTAGCCCTGTGGAAGACCTGTAGAAGCTGGGGGGCCAGAATGTCTCCAAAACGCTTGTAGCACTCTTTAGGGAGGCCATCCACCCCAGGGGATTTGCTCGACGGCAATTGTTTAATACTGTCTTTCACCTCTTGCAGGGTGATAGGCTGGAGCAGGGCTTGCTCCTGGGCTAGCTCAAGTTTGGGGAGCCCCACCTTATCTAGATAGCTGTCAATTTCGTGGATGGATGGATGGGTTATGTATATGAGCGTCTAAACACTAGGGTATACAATTTTGAGTAATAATTAGCAAATTCTCTTTTTTGAACCATTGTCATTTGTCAGGTAGCTTATTTTAGATTTTATGTCTAAGCCCTAAAGCTAGTTGTTTGTTTGCTTACCCACTAGTTTGATATACTGTGGCTTTACGTTTGGTAATTTGGCAGCCAATTTTAGCAGTGTTTTGTGGCTAGTTCCCGGAGAGGGGGCTAGTTTGTTTTGATTAGAGGTCAATGCAATGTTTTTGTGACATACTGTAAGGGTTGTCTGTCGTGTTTTGTGATGTAAGCAGAGTGTTGGATGAAAAGACCCCTGATCACTGCTTTATGGGCCAACCATACAGTATGGTCAGGTGAGTCTGCAGTATAATTTAGTTGGAAGTAGTCTTTTAACACCTCCCCTATTTTTGTGTGAAAGTGTTGTCTAAGAGGAGAGATTCATTCAGCCTCCAAACTGGAAGGAATTGTGTAAGTCTAGAAGCGTAGGACCATGTAATTTCCCCGATCTCACATTTGGACAGTTGTGCTAAGGATTGTTGGTCTAGGAAGAAGGCACCTATGCGCACGTGAGAGAGAAGTCTCGATGGATAAAGATTGACACGCCTTTGTCTTTAGCGTCTGAAAGGGCATGATATTGTGTAGGAAAAGTGAGTTTAAAGTGAGTTTCTTGGATACATGATTTGTCCATTTTGTCACGTCTCAGATCTCTTAGTAGTAGGTGTCGTTTACTTGGGGAATTTAGCCCCTTTACCTTAAAACTCATAATTTTCATAATGTGGGGTAGGAGATAACATATTTGCATCTTGTTGCCATTCTACAAAACTTGAGGGCAAGGTCCTGTGTACCCTTTTGCCTATATGTGTTGGCATCTTGCTCACCACTCAAGGTCGTGACCAGTAAATGTTGCAGTCTCGAGGATTGGTTCTGTCTAGTCAGCCGTTGCTTGGAGCAATGGATACATGTTTGAAAGTGCCTGATAACTTGGAGGGTTAGGAAGGGGAGCCAGGCATGAGATAGGAAAGGGGGGAGAAGAACATTAACATAAGTATCACCCATGTGAGTCAATTCATGTCTTGGTGGGCACCGGTGGGGGTGGTAATCAGTCCTGTGTTCTGAACAGGACTGGTGGGCATAGGTGCAGGCACTGTACCCACCATGGTCACTACTATGACATAAGTACCAAGTGGCATTTGGTTAAATAATTCGAGGTACATCCCTTAGGTACAAACTATGAGAAAACACACTTGTGTAATTTTTTAATTTTTTGGGGGGGTCATGAAACAGGTAATATTTCTGTGTGCTATTAGGGTAGACGCTACTAGAATGATATTACCTGGGCAGAAAGGAGTGATCAGGGAAATAGCAGATATCGTGAGCTGTCAGGGACATCAATTGTGTTTGGGCAGAGTCTAGATATAGCCATTAATCCTTTTGTGTAATCCTCTCATCTCTAGGTGTAGAGCATAATAGGTGACTAACTAACAACAACAATATATTGATTTGTAACCTCAAACCGTGTATCAATGGTGAACAAAATTATAAAGGCAACACTTTTGTTTGTGCCCCCATTTTTCATGAGTTGAACTCACAGATCTAAGACTTTTTCTATTTACACAAAAGGCCTATTTCTCTCAAATATTGTTCACAAATTTGTCTGAATCTGTGTTAGTGAGCACTTCTCCTTTGCCAAGATAATCCATCCACCTTACAGGTGTGGTATATCAAGATGATGATTAGACAGCAAGATTATTGCACAGGTGTGCCTTAGGCTGGCCAGAATAAATGGCCACTCTAAAATGTGCAGTTTTATTGTATTGGGGAGATCCGGGGAGGGGGCTCTGAAAACCAGTCAGGGTCTGGTGTGACCACCATTTGAGTTGATCAGGTTGTTGATTGTGGCCTGTGGAATGTTGGTCCACTCCTCTTCAATGGCTGTGCGAAGTTTCTGGATATTGACAGGACCTGGAACACGCTGTCATATGTCGATCCAGGGCATCCAAACATGCTCAATTGGTGACATGTCCGGTGAGTATGCTGGCCATGCAAGAACTGGGATGTTTTCAGCTTCCATGAACAGTGTACAGATCCTTGTAACAGGTGGCCGTGCATTATCATGCTGCAACATGAGTTGATAGTCATGGATGAATGGCACAACAATGGGTCTCAGGATCTCATCACATTTTCTCTATGCATTCGTAATGCCATCTATAAAATTCACCTGTGTTCGCTTTCCATTACATATGCCTGCCCATACCATAACCCCACCTCCAACGTGGACCACTCGATTCACAACATTGACATCAGCAAACCGTTCACCCACACAACGCCATACATGCTGTCTGCCATCTGTCCTGTAGAGTCAAAACCGGGATTCATCCATGAAGAGAACACCTCTCCAAAGTGCCAGACACCATCGAATGTGAGCATTTGCCCACTCAAGTCAGTGTCGATGACGAATTGCAGTCAGGTCGAGACCCCGATAAGGATGACGAGCATGCAGATGAGCTTTCCTGAGATACTTTCTGACAGTTTGTGCATAAATTCTTTGGTTATGCAAACCGATTGTTGCAGCAGCTGTGTGGGTGGCTGGTCTCAAACGATCTTGGAGGTGAAGATGCTGGATGTGGAGGTCCTGGGCTAGTGTGGTTACACATGGTCTGCAGTTGTGAGGCCGGTTGGATGTACTGCCAAATTCTCTTCAATGCCTTTGGAGATGGCTTATGTTAGACAAATGAACATTCAATCCACGGGCAACAGCTCTGGTAGGCATTCCTGCAATGCCAATTGCACGCTCCCTCAAAACTGTGACATCTGTAGCATTGTGCTGTGTGATAAAACTGCACATTTTAGAGTGGCCTTTTATTGAGGCCAGCCTAAGGCACACCTTTGCAATAATCATGCTGTCTTATCAGCATCTTGATATGCCACACCTGTGAGGAGAAGGAGAAGTGCTCACTAACACAGATTTAGACAGATTTGTGAACAATATTTGAGAGAAATAGACCTTTTTTTGTACACGAGTTCAGCTCATGAAAAATGTTGGCAAAAACAAAAGTGTTGTGTTTATAATTTTGATCAGTGTATGGTGTGTGCAGGGAACCATAATGGGATGCCTATACAGTACCCTGTAAAATTACTTATCATTTTGTGGCTTATTTCCTCAACCATTCGGAAGTTATTCGCGGGATGCTAGTCAAACGAGAGTCTTGTACAGCCACACTCGGGATTCCCTATTTGTGAACTTTCGCCAGTCCTCCCTCCGGCGTCACCACAGAATGCATCACTCCATCTCTATGGTTTAGAAGCTTGGCGGGATATCCCCACTTGTAGGCTATATTGTGTTCCCTGAGGGCAGTTGTAGTTGGGGAGAGAATCTTTCGAAATTGTAGTGTTGATGCAGAGAGGTCCACGAACAGCTTCATGTCGGCATAAGGATGAGGTAACAGTAAGTTCCTGGCAGCTTTCATGATTCTTTCTTTCGCATGGTAGAAATGTATGTGACCGATGGTGTCTCTTGGTGGCGTGGCTGAGAGATGTTTCAGCCTTCATAGGCGATGGGCTCTATCTATGAGGAGCTGATCTGGGTGGATCTCTGGGGTGAGAGTTTGAAAGAAATCTGATAGGTAAGAAGACAGGCTGGAATATGTAACAGACTCCAGTATCTCTCTGATGCGGACTTTATTTCTTCGAGAGCGATCCTCGATGTCCACCAGCTTCAATTTGTGAGGAGCTATTATGTTGTCCATTTCCTGTATTTTGTCAGCTAATGAGTTGTGCGCTTCAGCATGTTGCCCATGTGGCCTATCTCTTGCATCTCTTTCTTAAGATCAGCTGCCAGGGTTTTTATTTGGCCAGCTATGTTAGTCCGCATGGAGGCAGTGAATTTAGCCATCATGGCTCTCATGGTGAGGCCGGAGGAGAGGAAGATCCCTCTCCCGAGCGAGCGTCAACGTCATCTTGGGATTGCGCAAGGCCTTCTCTGACCTTAGGTGTCGTTGCTCATGTGAGGAAAAAACCTCCTCTGTCTGCATTAGCCATCTTGACTTTGTATCTTTGGGACATTGTGAGCTCCATCTTAGTATCACTGTCTATTATGGCTCGGCACTCCAGTTATTTTAGGCTCTTTATTTGTCTTTACTTTTCACAGTTGAAATAGAACCTCTTCCTCTGTAAACTCCAATTACACAAATTAATAATTTGATCTCTTTCCTAACTAAGGTCCATTTCCTTCATTTTCATCTCTAAATACTGAACAAAATATTTATTGAGGCAGTCAGCTAGACTTTTATCCTCTTCTACATACCTTCCTTCTTTTGTTTTTAATCTAACTAATCCTTGTTTTACTTTATTTTTCTCATGTATGTATCTAAAATATGTTTTGTCCCTTTTTTTTTTTTACTGACTGTGCTACTTTCCCTTCTGTGTGTGATTTGGAAAATTCACTTTAAGAGAGTGCTCCTAATCTCAGCTATAGACTGATCATTTCTGTGTCAGTGGACAAACGGACAAAATCAGCTGGGGATCAAATACTTTTTCCCCTCACTATATATATATATATATATATATATATATATATATAGTGAGGGGATATATGTAGTGAGGAGGAAAAAGTATTTGATCCCCAGATGATTTTGTACACCCCTAAGTGGAAATGTCCGAATTGGGCCTAATTAGCCATTTTCCCTCTCAGTGTCATGTGACTCGTTAGTGTTACAAGGTCCCAGGAGTGAATGGGGAGCAGGTGTGTTAAATTTGGTGTTATCACTCTCACACTCTCTTATACTGTTCACTGGAAGTTCAACATGGCAACATGGCAACATGTGAAGGCTGTACTCACTTTTGTGAGATACTGTATGTAAGTAGGCATCTCAGGCCCCTTACAGCTGTTTTCTCAAAGATACCCTGTCAAAGTGCCCCTGTCAAAGTGTCGCCTGGAGCCATGAACAGGCTG